ACAATGCATAGCAAAGATCACAGCAAGCAATTCATAAACCTTTGGTATGTAGCATAAAAGTACAGGCTCTACATATTTCAGGGGTGATAACCTTGTCTCCACCTAACATTAAATTGCTTGATCCAGCATTTTTCAAAGGATATCCTGGCTAGGGCTGCTGGGAGTTACAGTCCAACAAAATCTAGAGGGCAAAAAAATTATCACCTCCTTTGTTTCTGCTATTAACTGCCCTCAAGTGGATGAGACATCTCCACTTTTCTGCCTAATTCCTGCAAATTTAGGCTGTAACCTCTCTGAGTCTATCAATTTGATGTGTGGTCTTTCTACTTCCTTCTACCTTTGCTAGCATTACTGTATTTTTTAATGCGTTCTCATCACCTCCTACCTACTGGAAAGTCTGCTTTTCCATCATCCATCTTTGGAAACCTTTACACCAGAAAATGCCAAATGCTTCCACCCATACTCCTGCACCACATGCACGCACACACACCTATAACCATGAAGACTAGAAACTGGCCTTTTTAAAAAAGCCAAATTTCCAAATTCAGATCTCCTCTGTGCAGCATGCCATGCTCCTACTCTTGATTTTATGGGCAACATACAGAATACATAAAACACAGGCTAAAAGCTTACCCTTTTCTCTTATTCCCCTTTTTCTGTTATGAATATACACACATCACCAACTTGAGTGTTCAGAACATCTCACACATGTCCTGCTTCCAATCTTGCACTGGCAGGCTATCATATTTAATGATGTAAGGTGTAGGGTATGGCTTGCCTAGCTGCCTTATGTTCTCCATCTTCCATCACATATCCAGTGCTTGGAAATAACACATTCTGTATAATGATATTACTCATTACATTTAAATATTTCAATAGCAATAGTGTTAACATTTGAATTTTTGTATGAGAAGAGAGTTCTATTCATTATTTCAGAAACATTACCAGCGAGTGATTTAAGACAATTCTTAGTAAACACCACCCATTACTTTGTGCATTGAAAGCAATGCATTACTATTGTGCTATATTAGTAATGCATTAATACTGTGCATCACACTGTACTAAAAATAATTCATCAACAACATATTACTCCCTACTCATGAGTAACAAGTAGAAAAACAAGTGGCATGTTGCATTTTTGAATTATACTTCCAAATTTTGCAAATGCAAATGTTATTACCTAAAATCACATAAAATCAATCAAACATTAACCAGAATGGAGACTGCAGTCAAGAAATAGGAAGACTAGGAATGAGAAGGGCAGCTATGAAAGAACTGGAAAAGATACTGAAGAGCAAAGACATACAACTGAGTACTAAAGACAGAATCGTTCAGGCTGTTGTATTCCCAGTTACCATGTATGGATTTGAGAGCTGGACAGTGAAGAAGAAGACAGAAGGAAAATCAACTTATTTGAAATGTAGTACTGGAGAAGAGTACTTAGGATACCACAGACAGCCAAGAAGACAAACAAATGGGTCCTTGAACAGATCAGACCAGGGTTCTCCTAGGAAGCAAAAATTATCACGTTGAGACTGACGAACCACTCCTGCCACCTTGACTATTTCTCTCTTTTAGAATTTGATGTGACTGGCTTCATATCCCTCATCAAGAACTATTAATAACACACTGGTAGCGTTTGTTCAAAATTCTCACACCGAGGCCAAAACAGGTTTTTATAAAATATAAGATGGTTTTATTGTGTTTCAAACATACAGGCAATGTTTCTTGATTTTCAAACTTGGTAATAATATAACTTGGTTACAGTTTCAAGTATATGGTAGCTATTTCAAATACAATCCTTCAGCTGTTTCTATGATTACAATCTAAACACACAGACACTCTCTATCCTAGAGCTCTGTTCAACCACAAAGAGTTTTTTTTTCTTTTGACTCTTATGTTTGTATCACTTAGTTCCCTCAAGAACAATCCACAGCCTCTGGCTTAAGGTACTGCCTCACTGTACCTCCATCTAAGTCAGATCCAACTGACACTCTCGAAGGTTCCGAGCCTTCTGTTCCACAATTTCTAACTGCCTAACTCCTTAACTGAACTATCTCACTCACCGCCTGAGCTATTTATCTCCTTCCATCTGCTCTATCATTGGCTGATTCCAGCTGTCTCAGGATTGGTCAGCTGTCTTCTGGTCTTCACAGCTCCCTGCTGTCTTTCTGTTCATCACAGAGATTATCATACTTTGGCCACATAATGAGAAGGCATAGATCATAGAAAAAAACAACACAGCAATAATACTAGGAAAGGTAGAGGGTAGAAGAAAAAGAGGAAGACCACAAACCAGATTGATAGACTCAATCAGGGAGGTTATGAACAAGGGCTTGCAGGATCTGGGCAAGCCAGTGGAATATAGGGATTCTTGGAGATGTCTCATCCATCCACTCGAGGGCAGCTAACAACAACAAAGTCACAGAAGCTTCTAATCTATAAATGTCAACTAATCCTATCACCAAAGCCAATGGTCTAAATCTGAAAGAGCCATATTTATGAAATGTTATTTTTAATTAACAATTACTAGCCTAGATAGGAAATATAGGTCATGAATGCCTGAGATCTGTGGCACTGCAATTTCCCATGCTTTTGAGCAAATGATCAGTAGCAGTTTATACCTGCAAGGAGCTCCCTCCACCGTACTTTTCATAAGAGAATGGACAAGCAGGCTGTACAAGTATAGTTCTGTTCTGGCTGATTTCTCAAAGTAGAAAGCTGGGATCAAACAAGATTTAACATTTGTGTGAATGCATACCCTATTAATATGCCCTTGCATTCACAATGTGGGCAGGCAATGTACTCTTGGAAATCCATTCCTCTACATGGATAGTCTTTCATGGAATTCCAGCATGAGTTGGAAGTTTAAATCTATCTTCAATTGCTAGACCCTACTAGAGTAGCCCCACCCTGAATCAATTATTGAATGGAAGGTCAATATTTTGGTAAACTCTATTTGATTCAATAGGTCTACTTTAGCAATTGAAATTAGGCCTTAGAGTCTCAAACTATAATATATTGCAATATGGAAATCACTGCTCTCCTCAGAGCACCAGGAAGAACATCAGCAAGTTTGTACATCATCACCCCATCTGCAAGATATCCTTTATAAAATTACCTAATGAAAAAAGAATAGATTTGGCTCTGAAATAAATTCCAGCTATTAATATAGTACATAAGTGAACTGCTGTTTTTCTGTTCCTGATTATGTTCAACATTATTTATAAATGGAAATTTAAGTAGTATATTTTCCCCATTACTTTGTGTCCTGGCAGGTGGCTTTCTCCCCCTCTTCCTTCTCCTCATCAGAGATGTTACTGCTGTAACCTGGTCTAATAAAACTGCAACTTTGGAGGAAAATGAGAAACTGCAAAGGCTTAAAAGAGTTAGCAGCAATAAACCCATGGACTTCAATTAATTTCCAGTAAAAGATTGTTTTAGGGCCAACAGCAGAAATTCTCTTCTGTCCATGTTAAAATTAGGTTTCACCACATTTACTTTTTATAACCTATATAAAAGTCAAGTTAAAAAAAGTAATAAATATCTAAAAGCCATTTCAGCAGACTGGCAAAGACACTTTGTATGCTTGAAACTCATCCTGCATATTTCTCTCCACGCCAACAAGGATCCATAGTTGATCAAGAGCCTAAAATGTCAAACTAACCAGGAAAATAGCCCAGTTTCCAGGACATTTGACTGCATTTTAATAGACCTCCTTCCAAGCTACTTCTGCATGGAAAAGTGCTGGCAAAAGAAAGGAAAACTAAGAGATCATGTGGTTATAATTATGACCAGGAAAGGAACATTTCTGCAGTTCACCGGTGAAGTAAAACTCTGTCGCTGTCTGCTCCCAATAGTGTCCATCGCAAAACAACTGCCTCATTAAATCTCTGCAGTAAGATTAATATGCCGTAGCTGCACTACATTTATAACTTTGTACTCCATAAAAAGCACATTTAATGGAAAGAGCTAGAGCTCTGATACAAACTATTACTAGAAAAACTTGTAGCAGCATGTATGGGGCTTCATATGCTATTCTCATGTGTGAAACTGCTGTAAAGTTTTCTGTATCAGCTTGAAGTCTGAAAGTTCTCTCTCTTTTTCTTTGCCACCCTCAAAAAGAAACACAGAACAAGTAAGTTTATCACTGGATACTTTTCAAATGCCCTCCCAGTCCCAAACGGGGGTGGCTAAAGGAATATTAACACATATGAGCAATTTAAAAGAAAAAAGTTTGGCTATGGTTTGTGCTGTGTTAAAAGTGAAGAAAAATCTGATTTTAAGTGAGGCAATAAGCCTCAGAAATGTTCTTATTGTGTTAGAAAGCTTTTCCAGTTTGAAGCCTGGACAAGCTTTTCTGTCCATGATCTTCCTTCACCACGCTATAGCATTATATCTACATCAGCACTGACCATGGTTTCTGTACAGTATGACCCTCATATTCGCAAGACTAGTAATCACAGATTTACTTACCTGCATTTAGGGAAAAAGGTCTCTCAAGACATCTGGATGCCCTCCAGCATAACACCATGGTCAACTTCCAGGAGAAATATTGGGTTCACCATTATCTGCAGTTTTTACCATCTGCAGTAAGGCTGGGAACAAATTCCCATGGATATGAGGGGTCTTACTATATTTAAAACATTCCATTTTTGCTCTTGATAAAACTAACCAGATGCCCATGTAACCACAAATTGCAACTTCATTTATAAAGCTGGATTTCACGATGGTTATAAAGGCAGTACTGGATGGTGCCATTGCAGAGATAACCCTATACCAGTGATGGTGAACCTATGGTACGTGTGCCAAAGGTGGCACTCAGAGTCCTCTGTGTGAGCACACACACTGTTGCCCCAGCACAAAGTTCACCAGAGTTCATTATTAGAAAGCCAGAGGGATGTGGCACTTTGTCATAAATAAGTCGGTTTTGGGCCGCAGTTTGGGCACTCAGTCTCTAAAAGGTTCACCATCTCTGACCTATACCATTGTTAATGAGAGCCGGCATGGTGAAACGGTGTGAGCATCGGACTAGAAATCTGGAGACCAGGGTTCAAATCCCTGCTCAGCCATGGAAACCCACTGGGAGACTTTGAGGAAGTCACCTCTCTCAGCCTCAGAGGAAGGCAAAGGCAATTCCTCACCAAACAAATCTTGCCATGAAAACTCTGTGATCAGTTTGCCTTATGGTCTCCATAAGTCAGAAATGGTTTGAAGGCACACAACAACAACCACTGTTAAAACAAACCAGAGAATAGAAAAATCAGTTAAAAGAAAGGGGATGGAGAATATTGTAACCATACGCTCCCCACTTCCTAACCAAGACAAAATGTTGAGTATATTATGTCTGTAATGCCATCAGTATGGCATTACTGTGTCTGCTTTACAATAATACTATAATACTTAAGTTGTTTTATATACACTATGAAATATAATAAGCAAAAAATTGACAGCAATCAAATGCTTTACTAGAGAAAAGCCTGGCATCTTGGATCTTATCTGATGCAATGGTAATGTGGGAGGGATCAAAATAATGTGGTCTATCTCACATTAGAAAACAGTATTTGTGATATTTCTAACAGCATTGAAATATTGAACACTATTCATTTTGATATCACAAAAAAGGCACTGGGAAATTAAAACAAAAATATTTTGTGTCTGTTTGTGTTTGTGTCTTGTACAGCTAAGCCTTGCTTTTCCTGGAATAAATGCTTAAGGTGTCCCAATAGTATATTATCCAAGCATGTCAATCACTTAATTATACATTGTGATTTAACAGCAAAGCAGAGTGATAAGATGGGTTTACTACAAATATCCGTAACAATTGATGAAACAACAAAGCAGGTTAAACATTCTGGAAAAATATATTAATTTCCTCATAATTTATTTTCCTATCTCAGCCCACTACCTTCCTACAAATAGAAATATGCATGGAATTTAATTTTTTCAACTAGTTCTAGACATTCCTAGAAAAACAAGAAGAAAATTCCACATTTCATCAAACAGTTAGTACTGTGTGCCCTGCTTGGGGTAGTAAAGGAATAAAATATTACATGGTTTATCAGAAGCTTAGACAACACAATATTAATAAAGAAAATCTAATTTAACTTGGGGGGAAATTTGTACTAATAAGTTATTTGTCACATATTTAACAATTATTAGACAATTCATAAAGGAAGCACTCTTGTACATTAGTTGTGATAAAATGCTTGGCTTTTCAGTCTAAGGAATTCACATTGGATGAAAGCAAAATTCCTTGTTTAAGATTTCTTGAGACTTTTCCTATGAAGATCCATAAACAAACACCAACACAGAACACAGCACAATGATTTCACTGAGCAAAGACTATTTAAATACAGTTTTTCAGAATGAGTAATCAAACAAATTAAAGGATTTAATCATTCTTTAAACTATAGAAACTATGTATGTTTTTTCCCATAGGAGAACCAAGTAACAAAAGAGAGCCATTGTAACAAACATGTTATTAACCCCCTTATAGCTGTTCATTATAATGAACAGATCAGATTTCTAACCTAAAATCTTTCTGGTTGAAGTAAAGGTTTAGCAACAAAACTCCCAGTGACTTAAATGTAGGGATCAGTAGCTGCTAACAAATTCAGTGGATTAAGATCTAAACTATCTGCTCATTTATGAAAGCTACTAGACTGCAGAGACACTGGCCACAATCCAGAAGTGTAGATTATGTACCAGACAAATATATACAAGTTGTTTTCTCTTTCAGCCTTTCCTGTGTTAAACTCCTACAATATTTTTTTTTAAAAAATGTTCAAGTTTACAAAATAGTTTGATGTCTCTACTGCACGGGTAAAAGAAGGCTGGTGATACATAGAGCAGGTGGCATGAAAGTGGGCTGCCAAAAATATTTAATTAAATAAATCTCTAGTTGCACACAGTCTTGGCTCACAGGCACAACAGCACTTTCATATGTAATGTTTCTTTTAAAATCCTTGTTAGATCTAAACAGTTAGAAGGTCTGCAAATAAGGATCCATGCATCCTCATGACTATCATTTATCCTTCATACTGAAGCCATGATGAACGAGAGTGAGGAGTTTGGGAGGAAAGAGAGAAACTGATGAGAGGTATGATTGGATTTCTACATACTTCCAGGAATGCAGCAAGGATAGTTTTAAGGTAAAAGGAAATCTAGGAATGTGACATTTACCTGTGTGTGCAGCTGACTGTCCCACACTTCCCTGGTCCTCCAATTCATTTTCTTCTACTGTCAGGGAAAAATAAAACAAACAAACAAAAACAATATGTTAGGTAAGTGCCATAAGGTATTCCATGCACACACATCATTCACTACTCTGTTCTTAAGGTCAACAATGTTCCCTCTCCATGATAAAGGGAAATTCTTCCTAGCTGCCTGCCTGACTCTCAATATAACAATTTAAGCTAAGTGGCTTTATAGCCAACTCCAAAAAATATTGTTGATAGTAAACAAAATCAAGTATCAGAAATGATAACCAGCATCAACAGTATCCTGTCTTGATAACTCTAATAATCTTAGCATACACTATAGACATCAAGTATGTGTGCTTCCTTAAATCTCAAATTCTACATGGATTTTTAAATTGCCAAGAAAAAATATTTTTGGGATTTGTGCATTAAAATTGTCTGCCTAGTGAATAGCTCTCTTTATCATGACTGCAGAACTGTTTAACTCCAGTAAGCCTTCCATTTTGGCTGAGCAATGGTCAGTTCCACTGCAACTATTCCTGCAATTTACATTTGGCTGCAGCATCTGAATTGGGCTCTGGAGCAATTTATAAGGGAAGGAAGGCATGATGACAAAGAGGAAAGTGAAGTAGAATTGCCTTTCTTTCTCTCTTTCTCTGTTTTGAAAAAAACAACAACCCTCCTTATCAAAAAGCAATTAGTATTCTGATCTGAATGAACAGTAGAAAAAAAGTGGGCTTGTTTTCCAATTTCGAAATGGGGGATTTTAAGTTTCCTTAGACATATATTAGGAAGTCGTCTTGAAGCCAAGATAGACATAGAAACAACTCCATGGCAAATATGCAAACAGATGCTTAGTCAGATGTTTAAGTCTAACAAGCTGGATGCGTTACCAGCAGGTATTTGATAACAGAAATATTCCATGGAGGCATTATTTGTTATGCCTTATTACCTAATATAACTTTTACTTGTATTCTGAAATTAGTTGTTCTACAAAACCAACCATAAAAGGCAGAAAGAGGGGGATAACCTAGATAGCAAGTGAATGACAAAAGTATTATCAAACATAATTATGAATAGCTAGCCAGAGAGTTCCCCTTTTGGGACTGTAGCTCTCATGACCACCCCCACCCCCTTCAGCCTGTTTGATGCAAAGCACACAAATCTCAAACAGCCTGTGGATATATGTTCACATTCTTTCTCTCTCTCACACACACATACACACACAAACACATTTCTGTTTAAATATGCTGGCCTTATCATGGCTTGGGGTATCCAAGTATAGCTTTGTAGCAGTGAACCTGAAAGCTCTCTCTGAACCCATCCCAATTCTTTGTACCCATTTCTCACACTCTCACACAAGAGTCAACAATTTCATTTTGAGAAATGCTAAGAAACTTCTATAAAAAGCAGTAGCATACAGAGCAAAAAAGTAGATGTCACAAACACAAAGAGGAAGAATTATAGATAGAATGATGGAAGAGGTTCAGCCACAGCAAAAAAAAGATGAGAGGAACAGCCTGGTATAAATTTGTGTGTAATCAATTTTGTTTCAGGAAGATTACTAGATGAAACTCCCTCAACCCGCCTGAGCTGCAGAGTGGGGGGGGGGGAGGCAAATCTATCTGAAAGGCCTGGACAGCCTCTGCCAAACTAACTAGCAAACATCAAATAAAATTTTCCAAATCTATCAGGCCCATCTAAGAGATCTGGGGTGCAGAAGAGATAGGTCATGGGCTCTATTTGGGCAAACCGAGCAGTCTAGATGTCATTCTAGAAAGAAGAAATAATAATACAAAATGCTGGTTGCCTGATAAGCCTGTCCTCTGGCACTGTATGGCAAAACTTACTATGAATGGGAAAGGGGGATGCTGTGAAATCCCTTCATGCAGACAGAAGTGTGGAAAACTGTCCCTTGAACCTAAGCTGCTTTAAACTGTGATGAGACTCAGGGCCTAAGCAGACTGCCAGAAATAGTGCACATTAAATTGAGGCACTACCCTGGCTCAGTGCTAGGGAATCATGGGAATTGTATTTTTTTCTGAGACATTGAGCCTTCTCTGTCAGAGAGGTCTGGTGCCACAATAAATTACAGTTCCCATGATTCCTTAGCACTGAGCCAGGGCAGTGCCTCAATTTAGTGTGCACTATTTCTGGTAGTCTGCTTAGGCCCTCAGTTCTCCACATCTTGGGAGCTTATTGCACTGCTAAAATAAAGCATCTTATCTCTCCCAAATTCAGTTCTAATTTGGGTGGCATCCAGATACTATCGCAATGATTTTGCTGCCAAGTCTGTCACCCAAATACAGCACGGTTTGAGCCTGGGTCCCTGGCATGTTGAGCATGCCTCTTTTCCAAACCGGGAGTTTTCTGACTTAAGAAAATGGCTGCCGGAGTGCTCCTGGGACCAGGGTTGGACCCAGGTTGTATTTCGGCAGCAGATTCAGCAGTAAAATCCCTGCAATAGTATCCAGATGCTGCCCAAATTAGAAATGAATTTGGGAGAGGTAAGATGTCCCTAAATCTCTCAGTCAAGTTGCCTTCTTGTGAACTCTGCACAAAAGCAATTTCAAACAACAGGAATATCTAAGAAGAACACTCCATTTGAGGAATAGAGCAGGAGGTAACAGTGATATTTGGCCTTATTTGTAGCAGGTCCACTCAAAAGAAAATTTATCCCACTTCTTTCCTGTTATGTACAATATTCAGAAGTTCAGTTAGATGGAAAACTCCCTGCTTTTGCTTCTCTCCCACTGGCAACTGTGAGGTATGATTAGTAACTTATTTTTAACTCTTTCTTGATCTATACTACAGTGAATTATGGTTAACAGTTGACAGTGCTCATGTGGGTCTGTCAAATGTTTTAAGTG